TATGTCGTGGCTGTAACGGTGCAATGGAGGGGAAAATGCCTAGGAAGCTGATGTGTAAGTCAGCGGCGGATCTCACTATCCAGCGGGAAGGCATTCCGCCACCTCGGAATAAAACACACACTATACTAACGGGTCTAAATAATGAAGTGAATGATGTGCTCGGAAATATTAATCAATCAGTTAGTAATCAAATATTTGCGTTCTAATTAAAATCGAAACAGTGTCATTGTTTTGCGTTTTCTAGTCTTCTTGTTTTTTAACAAAATTATTGAGATCTTTCACATTTTCAGAGGTTGCTTAAGTTTCCTTTTATGCGTGAATTCGAGATAGTAATACAGACTATTCGAAATACGGAACAATCTAACCCACAGCCCTTCCATAGAGCTGTTCACATCTATGATGCATGTGGTATTTACGTTGGGAAAGTTCATGAACTTGTCCATGTACTTTGTATTGATCCAATATATTCCATAAATATTATACACCCACTATTACCCGTGTCCTAATTTTCTTGACCTTGGCGCAAAAGCAGCAGGTTTGACTTTGATTTTCCAGTGGCTGGCATTGCTTAAAAACGTCTAGAGGCTGATTTTGTAACTAATACCCTCGCTCTACCCGCATTTTTTCAAACAAAGCTGTGCGGGTAATTGATTGAGATACATGTAAAAATACATGAAAAATAAACCTCATGAAAAACTAAAGTCTAATAGAATTAGTTGTTTCTAAAGAGGCAAGGGACCAAACGGGATAAGTTACAGTTTTACTTATACGTGGATGTTCGTTTCGTGATTTGACTGTATCCCGAAAGCGCCAGGAAACGCTTTATTTTATCCGTCCGGGATAATCGCATGCGTGCTTAACGAGGCAATTTTTACCTTCACACGTCTAGCACTACAGTGCCAAGAACAGCAAAAAATCGTTTGGGGTAAGGTCAATAACAAATTCGCCTTCCGAAGCAAATGCACCCGGTTTAAACCAGGGAGCAACAGTCCCACGCGCTGTTTTCCCGGACGGATAACAAGTGTCCTCGAACAGGTGTCCCTGAAGCTCCCGATTACGCAACTCATAGGCTCACGCGCCCGCGTTTACTCGTACGGATACAACACGACAGTCGTAACCCAAACGCGTACGTGACCCTGAAACCGCCCCGACTAGTCACGTTACGAGACGACATGCGCGCGTGTTTACCCAAACGTGTAAAACGTGGCAGACGTACTCCGCACGCGTCTGAACCTCCGAAACTCCTCGATTCCTTACGTCATAAGCCGAGCCCCTTGGGGGCTAAACCCAAAGCCGCTGCAAGAAGCCCTAACGCGGCGGCAGGGGCGCCGCCGCTGGCCGGGAGCCATTCTCAGGGACGGGACGCAAAGTTAACCGAAATTAGCAACGCGGCGAGAGGAAGCCTTGCGTCAAAGCGCCGCCCGACGCCCCGCACGCCTAAACGAACGCTCAGCCGCTTTGAAGCGAGGAGTTCTCCCCTGGAGAAATTGCTGCGACGCAAGCGCGCTCCGGTAAAGGTCTTGCTCGGCGAAGACTACCTGCCGGTTTTTTATTTACGAACAGACCGAAGACCGTGGATAATTTGTGTATTTTACGTCAAAAGTATTTAAAAAAAATATGTCTGACGTATAAGTTAGAAGTAGAGTCTGTGTGTGCTCCAGAATACCCAATCTCACTCTTTTTTTGCAAGAAGATGAATTAGAATAAAGGTAACACCACGCGTTTACGGTAAAACGTTTGATAACAAGGAAATATTCGCTCCCGTGTAATAGAAACTATTTACATCTTTCTTAAAAAATTCATTAGAAAGTTTTTTAAATTTTCGATAAAATGTCATTAAAAAATTGTAGCCATGCCGGACTTTGTGGATATTCTATAACTGAGTTGAGAAGCTACTTTACCGATTAAAGCGTTACGAGAAAATTAATGCAAAACGAAGAACCATATAAGCTAACGGCGGAAATCTACAATCGTGATTTCGGTCCCTGCACTGAAAATTACAAGAAGTACATTAAAATTTTATATTATACAAAATAACTCTTAAGAAAAAAATTAGGATTACCAAGTGCCCGATGAACAAAAAACCCGCTCATTGGTCACGTAATTTGTATATATTCACGACCTTTTTTAATTTGCAATTACTACGCCACGCTGGCGTGGATTCCGAAAAGCATACTGATTTTTTTGCTTCGTTAACGGGCTAAAAGCAATAAATGTTGGAACTAAATTATGCACGTTTATCCTTCTAGCCATGAAGGCGGGAAAAAACAACAAAAGGTTCCGAATTGACTACGGCGAAACGGATGTTATTACTGGCGAAACTAATGCTATTCGTATGAGGCGACCTTAAAACCCGACTACCTCCAAGCAAACAAAATGTTAATATTGCCTCATTAAATACCTTCCCCATTAAAGGAAATTAAAATGATATAATTTATCACGAACTATAAGTAGTAAATGTAAAAGTATGATAAGATTAAACAGTATTTAGAGAAACAAACACTAACTAATGTGTTTTTTCTTGTCAAGTTTTCTTCTTTAGAACATTTTCGACAAAAATTATCCAGTCCGTTCAGTAATCCATTAAGTTGATAACCCGAGGGATAAAGTTTATAATACATCACTTTAAGAAAAAAAGAGGGCTTTCCGCAATAATAACTCAAGAGTTTGACCAAATACAAGATTGTATACGCAAAAAGACAACACAATACGAAAATTGACACAATAATTGAATCAACTTCCGTAATTACGTTAGTGGCGGCATAACACTGGAACCACAAAAACTCGAACAATGATAATCGATTATTCGAATTCCGTTCTTTCCTTTCGTCTCACCAGAACAGATGGCCATATTTTACCTCCAATAACACGAATGAAGAATCGCAAAAACTATAATATTGTTGACGTATGGAAGTAGCGGTAAACTTTTTCCGTAATACGGTTGTTAGACTTCACTCAACTCAACAGGAACTGAAAGCCATCACTGTCGACCGACGTCTGACAAGGATTTTACAGCCTGCCATCCATTAAAAAGAATTGAAACAAATAAGTAGTATCTATAGATCTTAGATGAGTATTCCTGCTATAAGAAAAGGTATTTGTTATTTATGTTATTTTCTCTAATACCATTGTGAAAATATTAAAATTTTATTTATATTAATTATAATCATTATAATATCATTATAATATACATTATGAATCACACGTGGTTGAGATAACAAGAAGCGGACATGATTATTTGTTCAAATTCGGCCCAATAACATTAATAATATTTTTTGACAGCAAATAGTAAAAGCTATTCTTTCAGGGCAGGCGTAGCGTGCTTAAAGTTCAATTTTTAGCACTAGTGCTAAACGATGCACAAGTGTTCATATAACTTGTGAATGCAACAAAGAAAACAAAATACTCAAGAGAGATCGCATCAGCTACTGCTAACCTTAACGTGGCATTAAGTGATATTGAATAAAAATAAAGTGAAAGATAGCAAGGTTGTCTAAAAAAATTTGTCCGACACACGTTATAATAATGATTTTATTTTGCTCGTACGTTTACGCCACTCGGCCTTGAGTCGCAATCTTTTCTACTCGCAAAATAAAATGTCACTTTTACCACTCGCGTCAAAATAACTATTATCGAACTTCACGAAGCTAGCACCGCGAGGGTTATTCGTTCCGAGAGTTACTGGCATAATCTGTGCTCTTTTGCTTCAGATTTCATTTTGCTAGATAGAGGTGGTTGGGTAAGGAGGGATTGGATGGAATCAAATCAAATATGTGGCTCGCTTGTCGATGCAAATATTTCCTCGTACGCAAAAATACTAGTTTGCAAATGTCGTCAGCAACGCTCTTGGTTAACTTTTATTCATAATTCAAATATGTTGGAAAACGAAACGGAGTAGGAATTCCGGAAATCAAGAAAACCTTAAAGTATGCGTGTTTGTTTATCCCGTTCTACAGTCTGAACGGTTGGACGGATTTCGATTTTTGAACGACTGTTGCGTTCGATTCCGGAAGACATTGGACATGCTTGCAACCTTCAGATATTTTATATTCACTCTTCTTTTTAAATTTATTCAATATACACGTTGGTTATCGCTATCGTTTGTACAGTGCTATTGAGTAGAATGATGTGTTGCGCCTAGAAGAAAATACCATTAGTGCAGACAAGTTCCTTATTTTGTAGTCGAACGTATTTTGTTTCCTTCTAGAGGAGAACAAGGAGCAGAATGAATCAATGGGCTCGTGTTACACGGACATTGTCATACGTCACGGCCAAAGTCACCCTGAAGACTACAAAAACAGGAAAGTGTGATTTCATGCTGCTAATATGAAAGAGTTTAGGCATGCATACACACTAGCAGCGATTTATTCACCATCTTCTGTTTGCGTAGACATAAAAAAATGTTTATTACCAACAAATTGATTTTCAGTTACGTTAATTTTGCATTTGCCTCAAAAAGTTCCACGTCTGAAACTGTACTTATTTTATGATCAGGTACAAATTACTTTTTTGATTCGATCACGCACCTCCTACACAAATAATCACCAAAAAACCAAGCGCGTCAAAATCATGATACCCGGGGTTAATTCCCGGCCAGGGTCACCTAATTCTTTAAACGATTTGAAACATTCTACAACAAACTGTTTTAGAACAGCATTCACTCTAACAAACTTCGTCCCCTTCCCCCACCAAAAGAAGTGGCGTTCTGGACCCTGCCCTGCTAAGCCCATGTGGCGCGATCCACTGGTCCCATTTATAAATCCACGCCTGCCTGCCTGCCTGCCTGCCTGCCTGCCTTTCCCCCGAAGTGTGGCCGTGAATAGCATTCCGCGCGGGCGCTGACGGGTGGCGGGGGGCGGGGGCAGGGCGGGGTGCACCGGCCGCATCGGCGTGATCGCCCGATCAGCCGGTCGCCAGCTGGCTCCCGCGGGGAGAGGCTCCCAATATTTCCGCGAAAGAGCAGGCGAGCGGGGCACGCTTCCGACGAGACGCGACGCACGATTGGGCGCAGCCAGCAGCAGAAGCAAACAACCAGGGCCAAAGACACCACGACGACGACGGCGGCGGCGTTGGTGGCGGTGGTGGTGGTGGTGGCAGTGGTGGCGGCGGTGGTGCGGTGGTCGGTGGTAGCGGCGGTAGTGGCGGTGGCGGTTGGGGTGGCGGTGGCGGTGGGCGGTGGCGGTGGCGTGGCGGTGGCGGCGGCGGCGGCGGCGGCGGCGGCGGCGCGTGGCGGTGGCGGTGGCGGTGGCGGCGGCGGTGACGGTGGCGGTGACGGTGGCGGTGGCGGCGCGTGGCGGTGGCGACGCGGCGGTGGCGGTGGCGACGGCGGCGGTGGCGACGGCGGCGGTGGCGGGGGCGGGTGCAGTGGCGGCGGCGGCGGCGAGCAGCTTGCCGGGCGTGCGCAGGCCTTCGAGAGCTATCGCCCCTCATCTAATCGGGCGGGTGAAGCGAGGCGAGGTGGTGTGGTGTGGGGGCGGGGGGGGGGCGGGCGAGCGGGCGGGCGGGCGGGCGGCGGGCGGGCGGGCGGCGGCGGGCGGGCGGGGGCGGGCGACTCGGGCGTTACGCAAGGCCAGCGGTCGGACTGGAGCGCGGGGGGGGGGGGGGGCGGTCGCGCCTCTCGAGTTCGCCAACCGCCGCGGCCGGCGCCCGAAATACCCCGCGCACGCCAATTCCCCGCCCGACCGCGCCGCGCCGTCGCCGCGACGCACGTTGCGACACTTGACGCGCTACCGCGCGCCCTTCGCACACGCTGCCTGCGGAATCGCACGCTCGTTATCGAACGGCGCCGCGTCACTCGCGAGATGCGTAGACCTTCGTCGACAATGGAACGCCACGAGGGTAAGGAGTAGAATCACGCTACACACGTAAGGGATACTACATGACCATTTTTACACATCCGTTGGAGAGATTCGTCCCCAACTGTATCGCAAAGGCGCCAACACACACTGGTTCACCCGTCTCGGTTCAGTCTTGGCATATCAATAAATGATTTTTACGCATTAAGACCTTCTACATCATGTCATATTTCCTGACTTTGCGAACTGTTAAAATCTGACACTCTTTTCTAGTTTTTTTTTTTTTAATTACCTACAAAATTGTATTGAAAAAACCTTCGTCTTCCTTTGTGGGTAATTTCTATTTAAATATTTTTATTTTATACATAATTGATTGACATATCTACGGGCATGTCAATAGCTCTTTTTATTAATCCCTTTAGTGTTTTCGTGCCTGGATGAGGCGGTGTTCCTCCCCAGCAGGATGGAGAGATCCGATGCCGAACTACAGGTCGGTTTTGGGGGCACCGTCCCCGAAAGGGCAAGATCTGTCATCCCGACATGTATGGTGGTGTTCTTCATGTAAAGTGTAAGGGGTGAAGATAGGTCCAGAAAGAGGAAGGAAAAATCGCGCGCAATCCCCAGCCCGTTTGTTAGAGTACTACTCCGCCAATCGCCCTGAATTGATAGGATTATACATTCTTATTGCAATGTTCTTGGCATGTAACTATTCAAAAATTGCATTTCAATTCACTAAAGGCATAAATATACTGAACAAGGATTTAAATGTTTTTAATAACGTCTGGGCAGACCAGTATCACATATTCCCATCTCGCCGGCCGACGATCTACTCTTTCTCCGCTTCCCCGGCTCATCCCTTCGGCGCCTTTGCCCGAGCGAGAGGGCGCTTTCGACCGACTGAGGACACGTCGCCCTGTAGAGGGCTGCTCCCGGTACAGTGTCGCAAGCACACATCACCAGGATACGCGCTTAAAACGTATCCCGAGAAAGATCAGAAGCCGGTAGATTTCGTGGCAGTTTTGCCAGGGCGATTGTGGCGATGACTGGTGTTTGACCGAGTAAAATTGAATGGGAACAAGTGTCCCGTATTCCGAGTATCAATAGACTATGTTGACACACACATACAGATTTACAGATTGAAAAGACACGACGACTTGGGTCGCACTAGGGGAGTCGTACACAGAACTGTTCCTCAAACGTCCCCCGTAATACAGATGCACTCTTCAATCTCTATGACTCATTCTTTCTTCCACTCTACACCATATTCTGTTCCGCCGACCCTTTTTTGAAATTCTTTACTCTTTTTACTAGCGTTACACGGAGATGTATTTGGTCGATTTAGGCGACGAAATTTTGCCAATTTCACTTCAAACAAATAAAAAATACCACTTCGTAAAACTAAAAGGTCAAGGAATAACTTACTGCCCAAATGTTAACGGTAGGCGCATATTGTCTGAACTTACTACTCTTGAAGTCCGCTTGTTCGTTCATGATCTCCGTTCGGGCTTCTGTCTCACAGTGAATTGCGTGCTGAGGTTCGATTTTGAAGTGAGGAGCCATTGAAACTGATGAACCTGGCGCGTGGTGTATGTGTGTGTACGTTATATATAGTTTCGAAAATATTTTAATTATTTTGGCTGAGATTGAACTTTTCAATTTTCAATGAAGCACATTTAATTTAATCATATAAATTAGTGTACTTCCGAAGGTTTCCGGGTTACAATTTTTCGTGCAATGGAAGCGTTACGATTTCTATTTTATAATTTCGAAAAAAGTAGTCCTGGATTTGCGCTGTTTTGTATATTATACAACCATTTATGTACGAATGCTATTTACGCATTTTTGACACGAGTTTATTTACTTTTTAATTTCCTCCAAAATTCGTTTTAGGGAATTCAGTCCTCTACGTAATGACTCGAAAATATATTTAACTTTATAAAGCAACAAAAAATACAAGATATTAACGAAAAATTGGTATTTATAGAAAATTATTTGTTATAAAAAATCTAACAAACAATAAAGGAAATAAAGCATACATTTTCATATTTTAAATCTGATAACAGACGAAGGTGGTTCACAGGACATAAGAAAGATGTGTTTGTTTAAAAAAAATTGTCGTTGGCTTAATGGAACATTTGAAATACCTAAAGTAGTGAACCGACCGGCCAAATACCCCACCGTGCGTTAGTCCCACAAGGCCTGACCGGTGTGTGCCAGTTACGGGTGGGTAGATTATAACTCCCTCCAATTCCAGCAATCCGAATAGAGGGAGAAGATGGGATAATTATAAGAGAATAAGAAGAAAATATCGTGCGCAGTCCGTTGCCCGTTGTATATAGTACGATTTATTTAGTCGTGCACTTGACGCAAATCAGTTGTTGCGGTTTCGTCCAATCGGAAGCTTATATTGCGTTCCCGTGACGTCACTACGAGGACGGTCAAGCTCCTGATTGGATGAAACCGTGAACAGCTGATTTACGTCTAGTGCACGACTAAATAAATCCTAGTGTAGAGTGCTGTTCCGGCTTTCGCTAGGAAGGGAGCAGGGGAACCACGAAACCACTGATCAGAATAGAACGGCCTACCATTTCGATTCCGACCGGAACCACGAACTCGCCGACGTTAAACACCCAAGTAAATTCCTGGCACATTGCTGGAATCGAGCCCGCGTCCAATCAATGGCATGCCGGGGCCGTAAAACGATGCATTTACACTGGTCCTCCTACGTTGGTACTCCTCTTTCGAACACGCGTGTTACATTTTCCCAATCGGCAGTTAGTGCCACCCATTAAAACAACGAATTTTACGAAGAGTGTTTCAGTAACTTTTTTCGGTTGCTTTCGTTTGTTTACGTTATCTAGTTGTTCATCCAACAGTTGGGGCCACGGATATAATTTGTGGACGATGTACTTGTATGTTTATTTTCCATCACCAGAGTCGTAATATCTTAGTACAAATTGCCGTATGAAGGTGCCTTAATAAGGTGCGTAAGAACTTACGCATATTTACACGACTGCTTACGCACGGCGGGTGTGTGTTTACGCATTGTGTTTATTGGTTAGTTAGTTCACGTTTAACAATTTAATTACACAACCAAATGCGATGAAGTAAAGGCGGAATAAATTCTTATATTACCAGGAATGAAGTTACTTATCTACATACTAACTATAAAATATTTTATCCACATTGATAATCTAGAGACGAATGATAGAAAATAATCACTTTCGTAATGCATGACACACTACTAACAACTCTTTATCAGTTTCGTATTAAGAATGAATACTTAGAACTCTACAATAAGAATAATAGTACATTGCCTCCTGCTATTATCGACATCAGTTTGTCACCTTTTGCAAGACGAATAATCAATTTTAAAACAATTATTTTAGTTCATTCGGGTTTTTACAAAGTGGATACAAAGTGCGATATCGTCGTATCAAACAACAAACAAAGCCGTCCGAATTGTCCAATCTTAAACAATAGTAAGATGTCTTATTTCGTAAATAATTATTACTTTAGATAATATTTTGTTAAAAATGAAACTTAAATGCATGATCTATAATTAAGCTTATCAAAGCACAAGCAGGAGTGCACTAAATGTTAGTAAATAGTCTTCGATGCGAGTCTTCTATTTAGTCGGGTGAATTCGTTATATAAACGGTTATCATATTTACCAAACAAGAAGTGTTTCTTCGACACACTTTTGGATGCAGACAATAACAAAAAAGTCAGACCTATCAGGCATATTTCGTGAAAGATCCAATTAGTTCAGAACGAATCCTCTACTGTGAAATATTAATTTATTTTAAAATTTCGTCCGTAAATAGTTTCACATTTTATATAAAACTAGTGATCTGCACAAAACCACATAAACTAGTTTTCCAGAAAGTAGCACACGGTAGTAAATATTTTAACAGAAACAATCTTCACGAGTAAGCAATAAAATGGTATACAGAACAACAATTCTTTACATATCAAGAACAATTGTGCATATTTGAGAAACAACTGCCAAGGAATGTTATGTTCGGTATCTTGTTAAAAACCCATTTAGTTAATTACTTTGTAATTTTGAATAGTTTCCCCCATCCACGTAAACAATTTACTCGTGAGAAACGTACAACCCCGTATATTTGCTGACAACAACATGTGTTATTTTTAACTATGTATACATGTGTTTTGTGATAAAGGTCTTCGCTTGTTACAAAACCCTCGAAATCTCATTGGGGAAACAAGAGCACCATGTATTACATTTCAAGCTAAAACCGCTATCATCCAATTATTTAGCCACATGTCACATAAGTGCATTATTTGATCAGGTTTCTGATTTTTCACAGGTCAATTTTTCAGACACAACAGCAATTTAAATGCTGAACGAATTAAAGATAATTTAAAAATCCACACACGAAAAATTTGACTTCGAGATTTTGAGAAACAGTACTATCTGGAACAATGATGTAGGTTGGTGATGCTAGATAAGGAGTGAAGCCTCTTTCTTCCGGGTTTCTGTTTATGAGCCCACATCCTTCTTTGACTTTTATCAGCCGGCGAAGTCCGCCAACCGTTGTCAGACTATTCAAACATAATGAATAAAC